GCCGATGAGAAAACATTCGTTGTCCAGCAGTTTGTAAACAAAAAAAAAATGATCGGGTTTACATGCCAAAGAGGTCAGCTGAAAATGTGCACCTTTGGTTGGCCACCAGAACTTAAGCGCCGGCCATGGTGATGGTGTGGGCCAACATAACAGCCGATGGTCGTTCTCCGCCCGTATTAATCGATCAGAATAAATGCGGAATATTATCGCGAAAATAATCTGGAGGGTGCATTAAAGCCTTGGAAAAGCAAATATTTTGGCCGCAGACCTTGGACATTCCAACAGGACTCAGCACCATCCGACTAAGTATGCGCCACCCAAGAATGGTTACAAAATAAGGTTCCTCGCTTCATTTCCAGCGCACAGAATAAATGCCGAATATTATCACGAAAATATTCTGGAGGGGACAAACATTTTGGCTGCAGACCTTGGACATTCCAACAGGACTCAGCACCATTGCACTCACCACGCGCCACCCAAGAATGTTTACAAAATGAGGTTCCTCGCTTCATTTTCAGCGCCCAGTGGCCATCAAAATCTCCGGATACCAATCCGTCGGACAATTGTGTCTGGAGTATTTTGGAAAACAAGGTTGGCACTAAAAAAAATACCAATGTGTCGATCACCTCAAGCAAGCGCTTCGCCGGAAATGGGCCAAAATACCGCAGAGCAGCATTCGGACAACGGGTGACGATTTCATTGGCCGTTTGAAGGCCATATTTCGTGTCAAAGGTGACCAATTCGAACAAATCTAAACTTTTTCTAAAATTTGATGCTATTTCCGACATTTTTTGCTTTCATTCAATAAAATTTAAAAAAATGTAAAAATTATGGTTTTTGACTTTGTTGCAGTTTTTTTTATATCACCCTGTAAATGTTCAACTCTCTGTCCGGCCCTGCTTGGGGTCCCATTTTTTTTTTTTTTTTTAATTTTGATCGATTTCTTCGGGGGTTGTGTTGAAATTCCCAGCGGTATCCCTTTCCTCTACGAAATTTATTTGTTGTGCTATTGTCGTCTATGTCTACTTTTTGCCAGCTGACGCGTGTCTCTTGTGGCTCTGTCATATTGTCATTTTTGTTGGTTGACTTGTTGTTGCATTTTCGAATAGATGCATGTTGTTTGATGGTTGTGTGTGTGTGTGCGCGCGCGCCTGTGTGTTGGCGTGATAAATACCGTTTATTAACGTTCAATGAAGAGAGTAAGAGAACTCCCCTGGTTCTCCCTTCCTTCCCATTTCATCTAATCCTCTTCCTCCTCCTACACCGAACCACCGCCGCCGCCAATGATGTGGCACATTTTAATTCTTGTTTAGCATTTTTTTTGTGTGTGACAGTTTCGAATAAATTGTAAAATTGAAAAAAAAAAAACAAACACAAACACACATTTGTCACGGAGCCATAAGCAGGAGTGAAGAAGTAGGAAGAGAAGAGAAAAAAAGGGGGAAACACGTTGCACCCACGTTCATATGTTAGGTTTTTTTTTTTTTTTGTAATTTTACTTTTAATAACATTTTAATTATTTTATTATTTATTTTAATTATTTAAAGATTTTTTTTTTCACTAATTATAGGGAGAGTCCAGCAGATTATGACGTTTTAATAACCTCCACCATTTGGAACGAATTTGGCAATTCTCAAAAAAATTAAAATCCTTTAAAAATTCTGTTAAAATCTTAAAAATACCAAATTTAGCCGTCATATTAGAGTCTAAACGACGACGTGGACCTGCATAGGCAACTTTTGCCATAAGCCATTCAATTGCGAAAACTAGAAAAAATCGGAGAATAATGTCGCTAAAATTATCAATATATGGAGGTACTATTGTATGGGGGCTATACAAAGACGTCGATCTGCACAGACAATTTTCTGTCATAGACTGTAGTATCCATTTCGAACTTCAAATACTAAATTTGAAGCAATCCCGGTGAATAATGTCCCTAGAACCATCAAAATACCGAATATCGGGAGTTACCGTTGTATGGGGCTATATGAAAACGTGGACCTACATGACCCATTTTCAATGCCAAAAGTCATACAGACATAATACACATTTGAGTAAAATTTTATCAACCTACTTCATTTCGTTCGGAAGCTAGAGTGATTTCCACAGGCGGACAGGCAGATAGGCGGACGGACATCGCTAAGTAGACATAAAATTTTATGCTGATAAAGAATATATATATTCCGAACGAAATGAAGTAGGTTGATAAAATTTTATTCAAATGTGTATTATGTCTGCAGGACTTTTGTTATGGAAAATGGGTCATGTAGGTCCACGTTTTGGTGGTACAAACGGAATGACAAACTTAATATACCCTCCATACTATGGTGGAGGGTATAAAAACAGAAGACACGTGGAACTGCGTTTTGAAACTTCACATCACAAAGTTAGCAAAATAGAGGGAGGCAAGATCCCCCTCCTCCACATTTTTTGGAAATTTTCGAATCCGTGGAATCTGTTGATCTCAGATGATTAAAAAAGAGGTCTTTTTGAGTTCGCTTTAGCTTCCGAACGAAATGAAGTAAGTTGATAAAATTTTACTCAAATGTATATTGTCTGGAGGACTTTTGGTATTGAAAATGGACAATGTAGGTCCACTTTTTGGTATAGCCCCCATATAAGGATACCTCCACATAATCGATATTTTGATGATTTTAGTGACATTATTCACCGGAATTATTTAAAATTTGGTATTTGAAGTTCGTAATAGATACAACAGCCTAAGACAAAAAATTGTCTGTGCAGGTCTACGTCTTCGTATAGCCCCCATATTTCGGTACCTCTCGATATTCGGTATTTTGTTGATTTTAGCGACATTATTCACCGGAATGGTTTCAAATTTGGTATTTGTAGTTCGTAATAGATACAACAGCCTAAGACAAAAAATTGTCTGTGCAGGTCCACGTCTTCGTATAGCACCCATATAACGCTACCTCCAGATTTTCGGTATTTTGATGATTTTAGCGACATTATTCACCGAAATTGTTTCAAATTTGGTATTTGAAATTCGTAACGGATACTACAGCCTATGACAAAAAATTGTCTGTGCAGGACCACGTCTTCGTATAGTCCTCATGCAATGGTACCTTCCGATATCCGGTATTTTGATTATTTCATCAACATTATTCACCGGATTTATTTCAAATTTAGTATTTGAAGTTCGTAGTGGATACAATAGCCTATGACAGAAAATTGTCTGTGCAGGTCCACGTCTAGGTATAGCCCCCATATAATGGTACCTCCCGATATTCGGTATTTTGATGATTTTAGCGCCATTATTCACCGCAATTGTTTCAAATTTGGTATTTGAAGTTCGTAATAGATACAACAGCCTATGGCAGAAAATTGTCTGTGCAGATCCACATTTTGGTATAGGCCCCATATAGCGGTACCATTCGATATTTTGGTAATTGAAGCGACATTATTCACCGGAATCGTTTCAAATTTGGTATTTGAAGTTCATAATGGATACTATAGCCTAAGCCAAAAAATTGTCTGTGCAGGTCAATGACATCGTATAGCCCCCATATAGCGGTACCTCCCGATATTCGATATTTTGCTGATTATAACGACACTATTCATCGGAATCGTTTCAAATTTGGTAATTGAAGTTCATAATGGATACTACAGCCTAAGGCAGAAAATTGTCTATGCAGGTCCACGTCTTCATACAGCCCCCATATAATGGTACCCCCCGATATTCAGTATTTTGATGATTTTAGCTCCATTATTCACCGCAAATGTTTCAAAATTTGGTATTTGAAGTTCGTAATGGATACAGCAGCTTATGACAGAAAATTGCCTGTGCAGGTCCACGTCTTCGTATAGCCCCCATATAACGCTACCTCCCGATATTCGGTATTTTGATGATTTTAGCGACACTATTCACCGGAATAGTTTCAAATTTGGTATTTAAAGTTCGTAATGGATACTGTAGCCTATGACAAAAAATTGTCCGTGGAAGCTCACGTCTAGGTATAGCTCCCATATAACAGTACCTCCCAAAATGCGGTATTTTGATGATTTTAGCTCCATTATTCACCGCAATTGTTTCAAATTTGGTATTTGAAGTTCGTAATAGATAATACAGCCTAAGGCAGAAAATTGTCTGTGCAGGTCAACGTCTTCGTATTATATGGGGGCTAATGGTACCTCCCGATATTCGGTATTTTGATGATTTGAGCGACATTATTCACCAGAATTGTTTCAAATTTGGTATTTGAAATTCGTAACGAATACAGCAGCCTATGACAGAAAATTGTCAGTGTAGGTCTACGTCTTCGTATAGCCCCCATATAGCGGAACCTCCCGATATTCAATATTTTCATGATTTTAGCGACATTATTTACGGGAATTATTTCAAATTTCGTTTCTGAAGTTCGTAATGGATGATACAGCCTATGACAAAAAATTCCGCAAGCAGGTCCACATAAAAGTTTTCATTTTAGTGGTAGTTTCCGGATTTTTTTTTTTTTTTTTTTTTGAAATTTTTCAATTTCCTTCCAAATGGTGGAGGGTATTAGAAGTTCGGCCTGTTCGAACTTAGCTGTTTTTTTTTTTACTTGTTTGGTTTTCACAAATGTTATTTCCATTTCATTATTTGTGGTTCTGTTCAATTTCTTTCACTGTTTTTTTTTATAAGATTTTATTTATTTCAACAATTTCGCAAACTTATAATTTTTTCCGTTTTTTATTATTATTTATTTATTGTTTAATTCTATCCACGCACTTTATCCACATTTGCGATTTATTATTTTGTTTTCATGTTTTCTTTTCCGAACACAAAATCCAAACTCACAACACAATACTCATTATTTCCAATATTAGATCAGTGATCTATTTTTACATTCGATACACTGGCGAACGCGAACACTTTCAGCCAAGATTTTCAAGGAAAATTCAATTTTCCTCCAAGAAAAAAAAAACAATAAATAAATATGAAATGCAAATTAAAAACACGCCACAGCAACAATAGCAGCAAAATATTCACAAAAACCTACATCACTTTGTTGTTGTTTCTTTGCTTAGAAAACAAAAAACTTTGCCAAACTATGCCGCCGCTTTCGAACCGCCGACATATACCGTCCAACCGTCCGTCGATCTCTTAAGAAAACAAAACACGCGTCCGTCCTGCAATTTTTGTTGTTATTTTTTTGCTTGATCGCCGTCGTTAGTTGTATGTCTCACGCGCTTTCACGTTTCGTCGGTGGCCGCTAACTTTTATTTTGTTTTTTTTTTCTTTCCTAATTCGAACCGTTCTACCCCGTCGTTTGGGCCGGCAGCTAAAAGTAAACTAAAGTCAGCAGCGGCAATTTTTGTGAAACGCAAAACCAAAAACAACCAAACCCACACACACACACACGCAAACAAACAAACAGCAAACTTTTGGGGAGAGCGCTTTGAATTGGAGAGAATTGCTGCAAGACAGTGGTGAGAGAGAAGGCATGAGAGCCCTCAATGGGCCTTTATTGAAATCACGATACAGCCCACATTATTTGACGTGGAGCGCCAAAATTTAGCAGAGCAATTTGTATTGTATCCTGGTATTGAAAATGAAATATATCGGTAAACGTTTTGGTATAGTCCCCATATAACGGTACCTCCCGATATTCGGTATTTTGATGATATTTGCCACATTTTTTCACTGATTTGTCTGAAAATTGGTAGTTGTAGATCATAATGGGCCCCAGATCGTGTGGCGAAACATTGCATGTCCACGATTTGGTATAGCCTCCATTTTAACGGTACATCCCGATATTCGGTATTTTGATGATTTTTGGCACGTTTTCCCATGAATTTGTCTAAAAATTGGAATTTGTGGGTTATAACGGGCTCTTATTTTTCCCTTACCCTAAGGTAAAGGGTATTAAAAGTTTGGCCAGGACGAACTTAAATTTTTTTTACTTGTTAACATACCGACAGATGTGGATTTTTTTTAGAATATTCTCCCAAGGACCCAGGATATTTCTTAAGGTGGATTTTAAGGATATTTTAAAAGGACCAATGAAGCTCTAATAGTGACCTTTTAAAGAAAATTTGAATCAGAGGGCCAACGGAGTTCTAGACTTGGAATTTTTAAAAAAATGTTTCCAAAGCCCTACCAACCATTTTACGTTGTTTTTAAAAATTTTTTCCAAAAGTATCAGCATCATAATTTTGGTTCTGTGGAAGACTAGAAGAGTTTGAAGGATGGAAATATAGGAAAATGTATTCAGCTTTATGAATATTTTCCAGAAGAGCGTGAATTTTTCACAATATTTTTCCAAAGAGTCAAAAGAACACGACACGAAGATTTTTTCAAATGAATCAATGGACCACCAAAAAGAATTTTTATACCCTACACCACATAGTGGTAAGAGTATTATGTCTTTGTGCATTTGTTTGTAGAAGCGTGATAAGCCTAGTAATAACTTTTGAGGATATTCATCGAATCACTTTCTGAGTCGATTTATGCATGCCATTCCGAGGTCGAATTTATTATCCGATTGAGATGAAATTTTCCAAACAATATTTGTTTGGGTCAAGGACAAACCCTATTAAAATTGGTGATAATCGAATCAGATTTAGATATAGCTCCCATATATCTTCAACCGATTTTGGGATAATTGTGCACAAATGGCCAATATAAATGACCTGAATTTTGGCATGACCTACCGAATTCAGTTTAGAAGTAAGTACTTCAAATTTTGTGAAAATAGGTTCAGATATAGCAATAGCTCCCATATATTTGTTTCATCCGATTTGGTGTTTAAGTCCCTCATATTCGTAATATGCATTCGACAACTTTGATATTTGGTACCAGATAAGAGATAGGGCCCTGAAATCCCCCACATGCGTAATATGCACCCCACAAGACTGATGTTTGGTATCAGATACAGCCCAGAGATACCACTACCAAATTGTATCAAGATTGGTTCAGATTTGGATATAACTCGCATATATATCTTCAACCGATTTTGGGTTAATTGTGCACCAAATGACTAATATCAGTCCAACTAACCTGATTATTGGCACGACCTATCGAATTCAGTTTAGAAATAAGTACTTCAAATTTTGTGAAAATCGGTTCAGATATAGCTGTAGCTCCCATATATATGTTTCATCCGATTTGCGGTTTAAAGTCCCTCACAAGCGTAACATGATTCTTTATAGAGCTCGGAAATACCTCTGCCAAATTTTTTCAAGATCGGTTCAGATTTGGATTTAGTTACCGTATATATCGTCAATCGATTTTGGGTTAATTGTGCACCAAATGGCCAATATTAGTCCAAATGACCAGTAATTTGGTACATCCCACCGAATTCAGTCTCGAAACAGGTAAATTAAATTTGGAGAAAATCGGTTCAGATATAGCTATAGCTCCCATATATATATTTCATCCGATTTGGTGTTTAAGTCCCTCATATTCGTAACATGCATTCGACAGCAATGATATTTGGCACCCGTTATCTTATCAAGATCGGAAATACCTCTGTCAATTTTTTTCAAGATCGATTCAGGTTTGGATAGAGCTCCCATATATATCCTTAATTCGATTTCAGGTTTATTGTGAAAATAATGGCTAAAGTCAGACCAAATAGAGTAAATTTCCGGATGTACGTTTCCTTTTTATGGAACTCAGCTCCGATATATATTTTTTTAATATAATCCTTCTCGAATTGATATAATACACTCTATAGTAATGTTGAAAATTGATTCAGAATTGGATATGCTTCCCGTAAATTATTTTTTACGGGAGCTCTCCTTAATAAGCATAGTGGTGTAGGGTATCATATTGTCGGCCCCGCCCGACTATTGACTTTTCCTTACTGATTCTAGCTGTATTAGATGAAGTATGAAAATGGAATATTTCGGCCGACTATATCTGGTACCTCACGCACATTTTAACATTTTCGGAAAATTATCAAATATTGGTCCACTCCTTCGGAACCTACTCCATAAAGGGTCAAATATTTAAATAATCATAAAAGAGGTCGAAAAAATATTAAAATAATTGTACATTGGCTGAGGGTACACATGTGTCGCCAAAACCGACCGATACTTTTTGACTTACTTCTACCGTATCATAAATACAACACTGAAATCCACTTTAAAGGCCCATATTAAGGCCTCAAAATGTCTCCATTACTTTTGGTTACTAAGCAATACAAAACAATTACACTGTTCCCAATATGTTTAGAGAGTAGAGAGCTTTGAAATTTGCTCAGATAGAAACAGGGTTGCCTACAAATAAAAATGCAAAAATAAATTCAATTTAGTAGACGTCACAAAAATGTGTGTCTTGCTAAAATATCTACCAATTGTTAGAAGACTTACAGCGAAACCTAAATTTCAAGGTATTTTATTATATCCTCAATCCTTTGGTACGTATACATAATTTGACAGAGAAGTAATAACTTCGGACATCATGTCTCTTGGGAGGAAATATATTCAGGGTGAGATAAAAAAAACTGCAGCAAAGCCAAACGCCATAATTTTTACATTTTTTTAAATTTTATTGAATGAAAGCAAAAAATGTCGGAAATAGCATCCAATTTTAGAATAAGTTTAGATTTGTTCAAATTGGTCACCTTTGGCACGAATTATGGCCTTCAAACGGTCAATGAAACCGTCACACGCTGCCAGAATATTGCTCTGCGGTATTTTGGCTCAATCCCGGCGAAGCGCTTGCTACAGGTGATCGACATATTAGTATTTTTTGTGTCAACCTTGCTTTCCAAAATACTCCAGACACAATAGTCCAACGAATTGGTATCCGGAGATTTTGGTGGCCATTGTGCGCCTCATTTTGTAACCATTCTTGGGTGGCGCGTGCTGAGTGCAATGTGCTGAGTCCCGTTGGAATGTCCAAGGTCTGCGGCCAAAATGTTTGCGTGCCCAAGGCTTTAATACACCCTCCAGAATATTTTCGCGATAATATTCGTCATTTATTCTGATGCCACGGTCGATTAATACGAGCGGAGAGCGACCATCGGCTGTTATGGCGGCCCACAATATCCCCATGACCGGCGCTTGAGTTCTGGTGGCCAACCTAAGGTGCACATTTTCAGCTGACCTCTTTGGCAAGCAAACACGACCATTTTGTTTGTTTACAAATTGTCGTTGCTGGACAACGAATGTTTTCTCTTCGGTATCGGAGAAAACCAAATTCGGCAATTCACCACTTTCGGCCAAGCCAAGCAACTTTTTAACTCTTTTCAGTCTATTTTCTTTCTGATGCGGTGTAAGTTCTTGCACTTTTGGAATTTCAATGGCTTTACCCCGAGTTCATTTTTCAATCTTTGCCGAATAAAATATTGCTATATGTTCAGCTCACGAGCCATTTTTCGGCCAATGCGACGCGGGTTTCAATCAAGTCGCTTCTTTACTTTTCGAACCATTTCTGCTGATATTGCTGTTTTCTTCCGTCCACTTCCTTGACGTCGGACTACGCTACCAGTATCACGGTAACGAGCGATGGTACGAGACGAGACACAGAAGATTTGTGCTCTAATGATAGCCACTTGTGGGTTTCCAGCCAAATATAAAGAAATCACACTATGCCACTTGAATTCTATCACGAATGACTTCTTCGTTTCTGGAAAATTCTCACCAAAATGCTTTTGTACGCTTGTAAACAATTTAATGAGCTGTTGCTTGAATAATTTTAACAGCTGTCGGACGAGTGGCTTAGAAATGACAGCAGTCAGAAGTTTGTTGCAGTTTTTTTCATCTCAACCTGTATACATGTCTCTATTTTTTTAGCCAGATTGTTATCAGCATAATTTTGCATACCCAAAGCCGGTCAACCAACTGGGATTTCAAAACACATTTCTTGTTTTTTTTTAAATTGCTCTTGATTCTTGGCGATTATAGATAGACCAACATTCCGTTGTCTGTATATTCATTAGTCTTTGTCTATGTGTCCTTCTGAAGTGTCCAATTTGGTCAGATCTTAACCATCCATTGAAATCCCATGAATATGACTAGCATTTTATTTCTTGCTTGGCAACTCTATGTTTTATTCCAACAACTTAAAATATAAAACTGTTCCCACCTGTTTATGTCTCTTTTGTATGCCTCTCCCATTATTTATGCTGCTCATTTAAAAAACCCCAATATTCTCTCAATGTTTCTCTCTCTCTCTCTGTCTGTTATCCAACGGAATGTTATGGAATTGAATTTCATTCTTAAAAAAGTTCTTTACATTGTTGTTGTTGTTACTCTTGTCACTGCAAAAAAAAAACGCTTTACCACTACAATTGCAACAACAGCAATTGTGATTTGTTTGTTTACATTGCACACCAACAAAAGCAAATAGGAGGAGGAGGCGAAGAAAAAGAAGCTAAATACATGAGGCTTCT